CAAAGATGAGGGGGGAGAGGGGACAGAGCTGGGACGGGGCTATGGGCTCACCCTGTGCCCTCCGGGCCGGGAGCTGCACACCAGACCTGTCTGGCTCTAAGGAGGAAGACGTGGGGCTGGATGGGAGACCCAGGGCTGCATCCCAGGGAGGCTCTGTCCTGGTGGTATCGCAGCTCCTCTGCCCTCCGCTCCCACCCAGCCCCGGGCACAGCTCGGTGCGGAGCCGCTGCCGCAGACGTGGCACCGAGGCCCGGGCTCCGGCAGGTGCAGAGACCGAGAGTGGCGAGCGGGATCCGGACCCAGAGCGTCGCTGGTCTGCAAACCCCCTCGCCCTGCGCCTGCGGGGTGTTCCCCACCTCAGCGAGGCCGTTTCCCCCCGTCCCAGGGGTGGCTGCAGGAAAACCAAACCAAACCTCACTCAAACCACTCTCACAAAGCGCCGTGGTAAAGACAGTCCTAAGCCTCCACCAAACACAGCAGACTGAGGGGAACCTGCTCAAACGCTGCTTTAAAAATAAAAACAAGAGGGGGAAAAAAACGACCAGCTGAAATCTCCTCACTGTCGCTACTGGGACGACCGGGCACTGCAGGAACCGCCAAGAGCCTCCAGGATCAAGCGCCCCTGGGGGCAGTTTGCTGGGCAGGATGCGGGTTGTTCGTGTCCATCTTTGAAGGAACCTGAACCAGGAGTAGATTTTTCTTAAAAAAAAAAAATAATTCCATAAAGTCCACACACAAATGGGGGGGGAAAAAATCATGTCAAAGAAAAGAGCTCACACAAATGCACGGCATCCCCACAACGCGAGCATCTTTGGAAGTCGACGTCTCGGCCAATAAAGCTGAGACCTTGAAGGATAGGCAGCAACTCCTGACAGCAATAAACACGCTAGGCCGAGAACAAGCCAGACTCACGTGTCCTCGTTCCCAATTAGTTGCTGAAAAAGCCATCGTTAAAAAAAAAAAAAGGATGCTATTTATTAGTGCGTAAAAAAATAGGTTTGAAATCCCTGTGTAGATTTTCTTCTTGAATTTCTGCATGTATTGACTCCGTGTCTCGCTGCGAGCTGCCAGCGAGACGCTGCCGGGGTGTCCTCGCTGTCCCTCGGGCTGTCCCGGTGAACTGAGGCGCGGGGCCGGTCCCCTCGGCGCGGCTCAGAAGATGTCGGGGCACAGACTCCAGTCCTGCTTGTCCTTGGCCTCCCAGTAGCCGCCTTTGTAGACGCAGATCAGCTAGTAGACGCAGATCAGCTCCCCCGTCACCGCGTCCACCTTGCGCTCGAACCACAGCGGGATGTAGCCCTCGTAGTCCTTGCCTGGTGAGGACAAAGAGGGGCCAAGGGCTGCTTTTCCCCTCCGAAAACGAGACCCACGCTTCCCCCTGCTGCCCGAATACCTGCAGGGTCCCTTCCTTCATCCCCCTCCCGCAGCGAGGGGCCATCCCCAAGCAGCTCACCTTCTTCCAGGGCTTCCACGCCCTCGGCCTCTCGCCTCCGGCGCACGGCTCGCTGCTTCCCCTCCAGCCGCTGCTTCTCCACGTTGGCCTCGTCCCAGCGGCCGCTCTCCATGAGCCGCTGGTCGGGCCGCAGCCGGCTGTCGGTGGGCGCCACGCGCTCCTCGGGCTCGTTCAGGGTGAGGGCCAGGTCCGAGAAGAAGTACATGTTCTCAGCGTTCTCCCTGCAGCCGCACAGCCCCCATCAGGACGGTGCAGGAGCTGCCCACCTCGAGCAGAGCTCCCCAGCCCTTCACGTCCTCACGTCTCACCCCAGCCCCACTCGCTGCTCCTGCGACCCCAACCCAGACACGTAGAGGTCCTTTGGGGAGCCCTACTTCCCACCCTCCAAGTGGAGAAGCCAACGACGCCTCAGCGGGTGTCTCGGAGGGGAACAGAGACTCCTCCTCCGTTGGCTCTGCCTGGGGAAGGTGAGAGCCGAGCCTACGACCAGCCGAGACACAGAACAGCTTCACCCAGGAGCTGCTGGATCCCCAGCCACAGAACTGGCCCCAGTTCTCCACAGGAGACCATTCCAACAGGGCGTCCCCAAAGCAGGGACCAGCCGCTGGTGCAGCCACAGGCTGGGGGGGGCGTGCACGGAGGTAAGTGGCGAGAGTGGCCGGTCTCCAGAAGGCTGAAGTGACTGGTGGGACAGGATGGCCAGCGACTCACCAGCAAGGCAAGGCAACCAACACATCTCCCTGTCATGGCCAGCAGACCAGAAAACCTAACCAGTGCCCTCAGCTGCCCAAAACCGATCTGCAAGGGCCCCCCAAAGCCACCCTTCCCTTGCAGGCACCCGTTCCCCCCTCCCACCCTATGCCCACACCCCAGAAAAAGCCACTCAATTCCTGGTCCCCTTCCCGTGGCAGGGACACACACACAAGTCTCCCTCCATCCCACAGGGCTCAGAGTGACACCACTAATCCCAGTCTGGCTGCACCCCATGCCGAGGAGGGGACTCACGGGAGGGGGTACTTCTTCCACAGGATCTTTGGAGACAGCGTCTGGTAGACGGTTTTCTGCTTGCCCTCCGTGCTGCTGCCGCCATGGCTGCTCTGCACTATCTTGGAGTACTCCATCTTCTCGTCCCACGTGCCGGACATGACGTAGTGGGCTTTCCCATCGGCGTCGCTCACCACCCCCGTCACCTGGCAGAGGGAGATCGCTCTGGTGGCGTTTGGAAACACCCAGAGGACAGGGAGAGGTCTGGGGGGGCAGAAACCCTCCGGGTGCCCCAACCAGAGCAGCTGGACCTGCTGCTGCGTGTCCTTGGCCACCAGCATGGGCCCACCCTGGCCATGCAGGTGGCTCTCCAGCCCATCAAACCCTTCCCAGGTCTCAGAGCTGCAGCTCCAGCACATGCAGAGCCAAAACAGCCCTCCCTGGTGACCCACGCCAGAGGTGCCAGTGCGGCTCCTTGGCCCCACGCTGGGGCTCATCCCAGTGGCGATACTGGGATCCCATGAGACCAGCTTAGAGCGCAGAGCCAGGTCTCAGCCCCACGCAAGGCTGCCAGAAGGAGCGAGGAGGTATCTGGGTACGCACCTTTCGGGGGACGTCCCTGGAGAAGTAGCTGTAGGGGGTAAATTTCAGCTGGCATTTATCTTTTGACTTATGGTTAACAATCTCTATTTCACCAGACTGGATGGGAGACAGAAGCACAGCGAGTGAGAGACTTTGCAAGGAGACAAACCAGCGTTAGTCGTAGTTCGTGCAGGTACAAACGGACATCAGCTGCATCGCTTCTGCCTGCAGCCACCACACCAGCCACCCCCCCGCCCCACGGCTCACCAGAACTCGGGTAAAAACCACCATTACCCACGGAGCTGCTGGCCTTGGGAAGGGCCATTAGGTGCTCCAAGAAGCCTCCCCTGCCATGGAAGCACACCTTTCCATCATGGCAGAAGTGCAGTGGGGACAGTGTCCTTCCAGCCTCCCTGCCCTTGCCCGGAGCCAGACCCACCCCCTCGGACCCGCAGCTACTGACCTGGTCAATCCAGAGCTTGCCCACGATGATGTTGTGCACGGTGGAGGTGACTTTCCTCCAGACGTAGTGATTCCCGCTGGAGTGAAACTCGAGGTGGATGGCGCCTGCGGAGCAAGGGGTGGCCCGGGCTCAGTGGGGGCAGGCAGCCGGGGTTCTCTGGCGCACATCCCCACCCCCCCAGCACCATGCTCGTCCCCAGAGCCAACCTGGCCACTCTACCTGCATCTCCCATCGTCAGCCCCCAACAGGGCTGGATTAGTCTTCCCTTTCTGCCTGCTCCATGGACCGCTGCAGTGAGGGAGCTGCAACACCCTGCAAGGCCCCCTGCCCTCTTCCCACCCCCAAAAGCACTGATTTTCAAATCATGGGCCCAGCCAGGCACCAGCACAGCTCTGGGACCAGCCCTGGGGCAGGCAGAGGATAAATAAAACCTCAGGAGGAGGCAGCTTATCGCATCTGGCTGCCAGGGAGAGGGTTACAACAGGCAGCAAGAAAACCTTCAAGTATTATTTAAGGAAAAACTACTTCATGGGCAAGCAGAATATCTCCAAAGCACAGCCACTACACTGCCAGCAGCAAGCAAAGCCATCTCCCTTTGCAGCCAACGTAATTTCCATCTCCGGGGCAGACAAGGTATCGTAGGGCTGTCTGCGACTGGCAGCACAAATCTGTGCTCCTACGATGCTCAAGGTGAATTCACTGAGCCCTGCGTGAGCCCAAGGGACTGGGCCAGCGCTTTCACCTCTTGGCTACTGCATGAGCAGCGCAGGAAAAAACAAGCAGCCGCGATCCTCTTGGCGTCAGTCACCTACCCAGAGGCATGATGGAGAGGTATTTGCCCCTGAACTTGCTGGCGATGGTGATTTCCTGCCACAGCGTCCACCCTCGCCTGGAGTAGACGTGATGTGCGGCTGCCGGGGGGTGGTGGCTCACCTGGGGGAGAGGAGAAACAGCCCGTAAGGTCACGGCCACCAGAGCCGGCCAGCCCTGGCCAGCACTCGCAGCGTGACTCCCCAGAGGCAACAGCTCCACGCCAGCTTTGGCCTTGAGGATGCTCCACTGCGCTGACCCAAACCGCCCAACCTTCTCCTGGGCGTTGGGGTGACCTCCCATGAGGTACCCTGGCACCACTGAGCTCCTGTCAGGATTTTCTGAGGCTCTTTAGCAAAGCATTATCCACAAACTCTTAACATGAGTGACTGTCGCTGTGAGATGCTGCTGTACGGTGACCCCGGGACACGGCCCCGCTCTCCAGGGATCCTGGCTGAGAGAACAGCACCCAGCCCAGATCCCCAGTAATCCCAGTGTAACTGTGCCTCTCCTACCGGCAGCAGCTCCCACTGCTCTGCCTGGGAACACATGGGGGACACACAGACCTGCCCAGCCAGGACTTGGGCTTTGCCCCTGCAGACCCGCTGGGCTGGAAAAGCAGAGACAACACCCTCTGCCCCGGGGGATGACATGTAAAAGCATAGTGCTCACGCTCCCCTGCACTGGAAAAGCTGCCCAAACCCAAGGTGGGAGCAGAACACCCTAGCCCAAGGGCTCTGCCCTCACCCAGCCGACCCACAGGGCTCTGACACCCGTCACCAGGAGCCTGCTAACCACCAGGCGCCGATGGCCACACCACCCAGTTCAGAGATTATTCACCCCGATGTAATTACAGGCTGAGTGCCCCGAGCCACTGGATTACAAACATGAGCAGAGCCAAGACCTCGCCGCTAAATCCCACTGTCACCGGCAGGAGCAAATCCTATTTGGATAACTGGATTTCAGGCACCAGATTATCAACGCTCTGCTCGGCGCAGCGGTGGGCTGAGCAGCGCACACAGCATCCACAGGAAGCTCGGAGCAGTGGGAAGGGTGTCTGTCTGTCTGTCTGTCCCACGCTTCCCACACCAGCAGGGCAAAGCCACACTGTCACCAAAATGTGGCCTTTGAGATGGTCCAGGAGGGAGACTTAGAGGCTCCACAGTGCTGCATGGCAGCAGGCTTGCTAGGAGTAACAGCAAACCTAACTTTGGGTGAAGCTCATGAGCCGTGCAGCAAGGGAAGGACTCGTGGAGCAGGCAGGACCCAGGGGCTCAGGCCGGACCCAGGGGCTCAGGCCGGACCCAGGGGCTCAAGCCAGCTGGCAGCTCAGCTGTTGTGGAGGTGTCAGAAATACCAAATGTGGGTATAGATGTTGGAAAACCAGGACCAACCGGAGAAACTAATTCAGGGTGGGCTATTTATTTGGGAGGGAATGGAGATGCAGGAAGGAGGGTGGTGAAAAGGAGGGTGAAGGAATGAGAAAAGGAATGGGTGCGGGAGCGATGTGGTCAGGGCTCTTGGGCGGTACCCGGTGGGCAGCGCTGGGCTTCATCACCGCAGCCCAAATGAGGGCAATGAGGGTCATAAACCCCCCCAGTCATTCTGGCTGCACCCTGGGAGGAGGAAGGGAGGCCAAGGATCAAGCATCCCAGTAAAGGATCACCACAGGGCTGAGCAGGGCGACTGCGCAGGGAGACGGGGCAGCAGGGAGGTGCTGGAGAACAGAGCCCCCTCATTTCTCTCAGCTGTGCCTAAAGCCAGCTGGGGAGCCGGGCTGTGCGGCAGGACAGGGAGCCGCTGCCGGGCAAGGGAAGGTGGAGGTGGGACGCTGCCGAGGCGGGTGAACCTGAGCTCTGTGCTCGCAGTGCCAGGGGCGCCTGGAGGGACTCTGACACCTCCAATCCGCCCCTCAGGAGCACAGCGCGAAGGGGAGGCACGTTCTCAGCTGCAGCTCATCACAGCAGTGTCCTGGCCCGCTGCAGCCCAGTGCACAAGGGCCCCAGCCTGGCACAGACCACACGGGCATCACCGGGGACAGTCAAAGCCAGGCAGCATCAGGTGTACAGCTCTGGCTGGCACAAATGGACAGCAGAGACCTTGGTCTTGGAGATCATCTGCTGAAGCACCTTTCCATTTGTCGTGAGCAAGGGGCCACATCCGCAGGAGACCCCAGGAGCTGTTCACCATCACCCAGGAACGATGGGCTGAGATGGGAGGCCGTGTTCTCCCTGAGGACAGAGCTTTGGGCTTGGGCACCCATTACCACGGAGGGGTTTTGTCCACACCTACATGACCTGCACGGAGCTGATGGCACCTGCTACAGCAGCTGCTCCAAACCGCAACGGTACAAAGGGCCATAATTTGGAGAAGATGATGATGAGAGACAAGCGAAACCACACTGGGGAGCACAGAGGTGCTGGTGTGACTCCGAGTCTCCTCAGCGCATATTCCCAGCGTGCTCTGTCTGCGTGTCCAGAGACTGCTGTGAGCACCACGTAGCACAGCACGGCAAGTCCAGATCAGCAGTGAGACCGTTTTCCCATGCAGTGGCCCTCCAAAAACCACGCAGGTCGTGGAGGCACAACCTGCTGAATCTTGAACACGCATCGGCCTCCACGGTGACAGAGGTTTGTGATTTTGTCTGATGCTTGCGATGGTCGCTCTGCCCCCAGGACAGCACAGCCACCCCCTGGAGAACACAGAGCCCCCACCACGATGTTCTGCCTGCAAAGGGTGATAAATGGCCCCATCCCTTCCCAGAAATCCAGGACGAAGCAGCCAAATGTGCTAAATATTAAACAGACAATTTTCTTAACAGGTCACAACTCATTAAGTGCTCCAGGTTTTTAATGAAGCCCTGCTGTTTGACCGATGTGGGCCAGATGTGCTCTGTGGTTAGAGCACAGGGTGGTCAGAGGCTCACAGGCTGCCCCCAGGCTCTGAAACTAAAAAATTTCAGTCCAACAAGAAAGAAACGAGACCATGAGATACCCTCTGGCCCAAAGACACCCTGACACAGGGAGGAACCGTGCCAGAGCTTGTGGGCATCGCTGACATGGCTTCTGCCTTTCCTCGAGCACTGAGAAGTGACAGCAATCCCAGCCCCAGGCAGGCTTCCAGGAGACCCAGGCTGCAGGGTGACGGACACCCTCATCCTCCCCTTCTTCCCTACCTCCTGCTCTGCAATGCTGGGATGGGCACACTGTCCTGCTTCTGAAAAACCACAGAATCATTAAGGTTGGAAAAGCCCTCTAAGACCATCAAGTCCAACCATCAGCCCAACACCACCATGCCCACTAAACCACAACCCCAAGTGCCACATCCATGTGCTTCTTGAACACCTCCAGGGCTGGTGACTCCACCACCTCCCTGGGCAGCCCCTAAATTTTTCCTAACGTCCAACCTAACCCTCCCCTGGCACAACTTGAGGCCATTTCCCCTTGTTCTACCACTAGCTACGAGGGAGAAGAGACCAATCCCACCTCACTACAACCTCCTTTCAGGTAGTTGTAGAGAGCAGTAAGGACTCCCCCTCAGCCTCCTCTTTTTCAGACTAAACAACCCCAGCTTCCTCAGCTGCTCCCCATAATTCTTGTTCTCCAGACCCTTCACCAGCTTCATTGCCCTTCTCTGGACACGCTCCAGAGCCTCAAGGTCCTCTTTGTAGTGAGAGGCACAAAAACTGAGCACAGGACTTGAGGTGCAGCCTCACCAGTGCTGAGAACAGGGGCACAGACACTTCCCTGCTCCTGCTGGCCACACGACTCCTGATGCAGGCCAGGACGCCGCTGTCCTTCTTGGGCACATTGCTGGCTCATGATCAGTTGCTGTCAACCAATACCCCCAGATCCTTTTCTGCCTGGCATCTTTCTAGCCAAATGGCTTGGGCTTTGCCTGCTGCTGCTTCTGCCAATGCCAACAGGAATCTGCTGGCTGCCTCGGCCAGGAGGAAGGCTCAGTGTGAGGAGATGAGGGGTCTCCTGCAGGGAAGGGCTGCTTTGGCTGGACACGAGCAGCGGGGTGGCCACGCAGAGTCCCTCCGCAGACCCCGGCTCACCTGCTCACAGAGGGAACGGAAGCCAAACTCCTCCAGCCGGTCGAGCTCATAGGTTTCCCCCAGCAGCGGGTTGAATGGCTTCGCAGTGCGGTGGACCGTCGTCGAGTAGGAAGACACCGAAAATGCGGCGACGAAGCACATCTGCTCCGCGGAGCTCTCGCACTTCACCGCTTTGTCCAGCAGCTCGTGGTACTCCAGGTCCTCCGTCAGCCTCTGTAGCATGGAGAGCGGCTCGTTGAAGTTTACCTGGAGGGGAACAGATCAGGGTGAGCAAAGCAGAAGATCTCCCCCCAGCACGGTACCCTCCTAACCATCTGCATCCCACACGTTTGGCTCCCCAAAATGGAAATTGCTGAACTGAAGGAGCTCCACCGAACTCCTGGTGTGGGGCTGGACGTGCCAAGGCGCCTGCCCAGGCGCTGCCTCTGCAGCACCGCACGAATGGGAAATACAGGCAGGAAACACCTGCTCTGCCGGGCTGCCACACCACGAGAGCACGAAGGCTCTGAGGTTCCCAGCAGAGAAGAGGCCAGGGAGCTGGCAGCCCTGTGAGCAACCAGGCACTGTCCCAGCTACCACCTTGCTCGGGTGCTGGAGCTCCAGTGGCCCCCAAAATGAGCCTCAGCAGCGAGACCTGCTCCCTCCCTCTGGCCACGGGCAAGCAGCGACGTGGGGCAGGGATGCGCTGCTCCCTGAGCTGCCCTCCCGTGACGCCCAGCAAAGCCACCTCCATGCTGGGCTGCAGCCCAGTTCATAAAAAAACCCTTGAAAGCCCCACTTTGGGGTCTCCCTGCTCCTGTGACTGCAGCCCCATGACAGCACCCGAAGTGCATGTGTGAGCTGCAGGCAGTGACGGTGGTGATGCCTCACGGGGCAGAGAGCGGAGGGGAAGCTGTGTCCTGGGGGCGCCCGAATCAGTTGTGTTTGCAGCCCCAGGTCGTTGCTTTGTCAATGAGAAAACTTTGCTGTGCATTGCCAGGTTGGGCAGGCTGTGAACATCTCTGGGAAAAAAAAATGGTTGATTTTAGCAATTTTTTTGGTCTGAAAAGTATTGAAATTAAAAAAAAAAACCTGAAAGGAAGACAGAGATACTTCGTCTCATGAGGAGAAGGTCTTCTGCCTCAAAGCCGTCTCAAATCTACTGTTTACTTTCAGTTCGGAACAAAGAAATGTATGTTAGAAGGAGCAGAGAGTTGAAGGACGGGAGAAGCACCTCTATAAGCCAAGCTCCATACTCCACACTAAAGCAAACAAACTCCAGATCGCTCCACTCGGGAATTTAAGCAGCGAGGATCTTACAGCATCCAAGAAAGATCCGTGCAGGAAGGGCAGCGTCGCATCCGCGCAGAAAAGCAAACTCTGCCGGCTTGAGACAGCTCTCGGGAGAGACGCAGGCGGCACGAGAACAAAGCCAGCAGCTGCGTCTCCACCGGCACCGCTCGGGCAACGGCGACGAACCCACCCGAGACGCAAAATCCCTCGAGCCGTGTTCTTCCTTCTCAGTGCTGCAGGTTTGTCCGTTCAGAAGAAAAACTAAGGAGCGCGCTGTTTGCACGGCGAGGTTTTTCAGTCCATCGCATCCCCTGGGAAGGGATGGGGTCTTGGAAATGCTCCTAATTCACCTAGAACCGGGCAAAGCACACGGAAGGTGAAACTCCCGTCCCTGGTGCGCACAGCAGGCTCACCGAGGGTCTGTACTGCAATGAGCCACGTCTCCAAACAGCCCGCCCCGAGCCGGCTGCTCCGCTTCCTGCTCCTGCTTCGCTCCATTTACCACAGTGTCAGCCTGGAAGCCCTTGCTCAGCAGCTCCATCTTGATTCACGGAGCTGCCGGCTTCTCCTGCGCTCCAAGCACAAGTGCTACAGAGAGAGAATTTCAATAAATGGCTGTGAAAGGAGATCAAATTGTTGATCTGCCAATTGTTGGCTGCTTGTTCTTGGGGTGAATCTTCCAAAGAAAAACCACTTGCAGGGTGCAAAACACCTCCCTGCCTCTGTGTCTGTTTGGGTGTCGAGAGAGATGAGCTGACAGCGAGTGGCTGACGTGGGGTCCATGCCCTCCGTTACATCCCATAGCTCTGCTGAACAGTTTATGGAGCGAGCCGTGCTGGGAACCCATCACCGCTCGCCTCGGGGAGGGACGCAGCAATTACATCCCCGGGGCAGCACCGGGGCTGCTGCGCCAGCAGAACAGAATCGCTCTCGGGTTTGGACCCGGCTTTAGTGGCTCCTGGGATGATGTGAGTGACAGGGGAAGTATAAACTGCCTGTCCCCAGGCACCGGCAGCTGCTGGTTTTTCACGTCCTGAGTGTATTTGTGTACCCATTCTGCCTTTAGCTGATATTGATGCTGCTGCAGCAATGCTAACGGACAGCGCTGGGCTGTGTATCTCGGCTGGAAATAGCACAGAGAAGAGACAAACTCATCTCTCTTACTCAGATTGCGTCAGGCACTGCTTTAAGAAGAGACTAAATATACTCAGTCCAGCACCCAAGCCCGTGTAACACACTCTTTCCCCTTTCTTGACCCCCAGTACAGCTTCAGAGCCACGGTTCACACTTTGCAGGGCCACATCCACTCCAGGCACAATAGCCCACAGTCCCCCTCAGGTGTTTCACAGCTCTCCCAAGCTTGCCAGGGCTTCATGGTTTTTGGGGAACCAGTTTCCTTATGATGGCACCCAGTCCCATCCATGCTGCGTACTGGGCTGGTGAAGACCTGAAAAAAATGGCTGCATTCTGGGGGAGGTGTGGTGTGGGCAGCATTCTGTGTGGGTTCATGAGGCCCAGCGTTATTTATCTGGAAGAATGAAATGCGCACCCTGCTCACCCCCTGTGGCAGCCCACGCAAGGGGGCTCCTCCAGACCCCTGCCAGCTCCCTGCAGGGAGCCTTCGCCCCGAGGACCGAAGCCAGCAGCACCCAGTGGTGCTGTACAACACCCCACGGCACCTCCTTCACTAAAAGGCCGCTCTTTGCAAGGAAAAGAATGGCACTGTGGGTCCCTGGGGTAAAACACAGCCCTGCCGTGCTGTCGGTGCTCCCCAGGCGTCGTGTCCTCAGGGGACACACTGGGAAAGCACGATCAGCAAGGTCTCCTTCTAGCCCCTGGGTGAAGGGAATCCTCGGGGATTCGAGGTGTCCTGGTTCCCTCTTTCCCCCTGCGCTAGGGGATCTGCAGGGGACACTTGGGCAATGTCCCTCTGCTCCAGCTTGCCCCGGGATTTGCGTGAGCAAACTGCCAGGGCTCTGCACAGCCGGCACAGGAGAACGGATCGACCCCAAGGAAGGAGCTGACCCAATTCAAACGGTCCCCAATGCAACAGCCACCACGTCAGAGTCATTTACCACAAAGCAATTAGAGCTACAGCTCGGTGCTGCCTGGCGGGTTCAGTTCACTGGCAGGTGATTTCAAGGGGTAAATAAATTGCAGGGGAAATGCAGGGCTTAGAGTCAGCAGAGCAGAGCAGCAAGGACACGAGGATGCTGCAGGCAGGGCTGGGGAGAAGGGTGAGGTGGCTTCAGAAGGCTCTGCCAGTGCAAAAGCCAGTTCGCCCACCAGTTGGTGACGTGCTCCTGTCCCGCTCGGGGCTGCTGTGCTGCCACAGCACCTGGAGCCACAACCCAAATCCTGTGCACAGCCACAAGCCCAAACGAAACCCTCAACGCTGGCACCACGGCCAGCTCTCAACACCCGGGACCTGGTCACTTACGGGCATGGGGATCTTGGAGAGCTCTTTGCCGATGCAGTTCTTCATGATGCTCCAGAGGTTAAGGCTGTAGTTGGGTTTGTCGGGGATGCGAGTCCTTCTCCTTTTCTTCGGCAGGAGATCTTTGCAAGTGGACTCATTGTAGCTGCTTTGATTGGAGCTTTCAAAGACCTGCGGAAGCAAGAGAAGAAACACAGGTGGAAGCCAAACTCACCCAGCATCACCCAACCAGACGCTGCAGCTTCCAGGAGCAGCACCCACAGCCCAGGACACATCATGTGCACTTGTGCTGGGGAGCATCACTGAGAGACTGATCTCCAGAGCGTGGGGGAAATAATGGTGCGATTACCCCCAACAAGGTCCTGCTTCCCTAAGGAGGGCATCTGGGGCGTGCTGCAGGACCACCAACATCTGTCCACCCCCGTGGCTCACAGAGCCACCAACTCTGCTCCATCCTGGAGGTGCGGCAGGGACGCAGACGCAGAGTCTCAAGAACAACCTCCCCCCTCCTTCTCCTCTCCCCCTGCCCCGCCAACTCACGCTGTCCTCCAGGTTCCAGTCCTCGGGGTGGCCCTCGCTGGCCCCGCTCAGGTTACTGCCCGAACGCCTGCGGGAAGAGAGAACCAGCTGGGAAACACCAGACAGGGCAGAGAAGGGCAGAGAAGGGCAGAGAAGAGCACACACTGGAGTAGCATGGCCACCACCACCCACAGCATCGCCCTGCACTACCCCAGAGCGCATGCCACATGGTGACGGAGGCTGTGTGCGGGCGTTGGGAGCGCTGGGTGTCCCAGCCTGGGTGCCCAGAGCCTCTGTGTTCGCCAGCGAGCCCGGCGGTGTGACTGGTTCAGGCCACTGGGGACGTGCACACACAGTAACCCCGCGGCAGAGGATGCTGCCCTCGAGCCCGAGCACAGCACTGGGAAAACCATCTCCCCCCTGCTCCTCCCACACCCGCAGCAGGTTTCACCAGGCTGCACTGCCAACGCATGGCCCCGGGGCAGGAGCTTGTACCTGTGGTGCTTGGGGTCCGCGGTTACAGTGATAAAAGCTGGTGCATCCTCCATGGCATCGAAATACTCCGTCTCTTCATCTTCATCACTGGCCTCTCCTTTGGCAGACTGCACGCTCCCTGTCGGCACGAAGGGGTTGAGATGCTCAGGTGCTGCTGCTTCCTCATAGAGCCCAGCGAGCACGAGTCTGTCTCCAGAGCCCACCCTCCTCCTGCTGCGTCCCCTCCAACCCTGGCTACCTTTGCAGCTGATTCCCCTCCTCTCCATCCCACTCCATGACCAGAGGAAGTCGCACCGATTTCCAGCTCCGAAAAGCAAGGACGTGCCCTGGCAGTGCATGCCCTGCTCTCCACTTCCAGGCACACAAGGCTTCCCTGCCCTACACCTCCAAAAACACCGTCAGGCTGCCCAAGCCACACACACACACACACACACACACACACACGCGCGTGACTCACACACCCAACCGCATCTAACGCGGCTCCTGCTCCAGCACCGCCCCATCTGCTGGGAAACCTGGTCTGGATCAATGCAGGAAGAAGAAATCACGTGTTGCAGGTGATGCTCACTGAGACTTCCCAGCTGCTGAGCTTTCCAGTCCCGCACTTACAAACATCCTCTCCCCTGCTTCAGAGGGAGAAAAAGCTACAAAGCCGGAAGCAGACATGAATTGTGGTGACTTTTGAGATCCCTGAGTGCAGCCTCGCCACAGGCTTCACCGCTCAGCAGCACTGCAGGGCACAGGGCAGAGCTGACCACGGCTCCCAGGGCCCCGGGGCGGTGCGAGGGGGAAGCTGCTGGCATCCAGCACGATGCTGCCCCGGCCAC